TGGTGCCGTGGCGATGAGCTACTTTGGGGTGCTGTAGCACGGGGCTGGTCTTAGAAGCTGGTGCTGTTTCAGGGAGCCAGTGTAATTTTGGGGAGCCAGAGGTGCAGCAGGGAGTGGGTGCCGCATCCCTGTGTGCTCTTTTCCCACATCCCTGAGCACCCTTTTCCCGCAGGAGTGCCTACTGTGCCGCCTCAGTGGCCTCGCTGACCAACATCCTGACGCCCGCGCTCTTCTCCGGGACGGCCGAGTGGATCGCCAGGTGAGATTTGGGGACGGGGGGGGCACACGGGATGGCATTCCCAGCGCCGGTGCCACCCTGACCCTGCTCCCACAGGTGCCAGAACTGGGAGGGCGGGATCGGCGGCGTGCCGGGCATGGAGGCGCACGGCGGCTACACCTTCTGCGGCATGGCCGCGCTGGTCATCCTCCAGCAGGAGCATCTGCTCAACCTCCGGAGCCTGCTGGTGAGTGATCCCTGCCCGGGGCACGGGGTGTCCCATCCCACTGGCGATCCCTAATCCCACACTGGCTCCGATCGTCCCGCAGCACTGGGTGACCGGGCGGCAGATGTGCTTCGAGGGCGGATTCCAGGGCCGCTGCAACAAGCTGGTGGACGGGTGCTACTCCTTTTGGCAAGCCGGGCTCCTGCCCCTGCTCCATCGGGCACTCCATGCCAGGGGTGAGTTGCCATGGGCTTCCTGTGCTCCCCAGGATGGCATCTCCAGGGATTTGACACCTCCTCCTGGTGTTTCTCCTCCGGGTTTTCCTCCCAGGTGACACAGCGCTGAGCATGGCGCACTGGATGTTCGACCAGCTGGCACTGCAGGAATACATCCTCCTGTGCTGCCAGTGCCCGGCCGGGGGGCTGCTGGATAAGCCAGGAAAGTGAGTGATGGGGGGAACACAGGGCTGCCCACCCCCCCGGGCTCCCCCTCAGCATCCCAATATGTCCCTGAGCGCAGATCCCGGGATTTCTACCACACCTGCTACTGCCTGAGCGGGCTGGCCATTGCCCAGCACTTCGGAAGCGGAGACCTCCACAACGAGGTGGTCCTGGGTATCCCTGAGAACTGCCTGGTAGGTGCTGGACATTGCTGGAGTGGGCAGGGCTGAACTTCCAGTGCTCCACAGCGCCGGGAAACGCAGATCCAATGGAGGTAGAGAGAGTTGGGATTCATCCTGGAGAAGGAAAGGCTCCAGGGAGAATTTAGAACCGCTTCCAGTGCTTAAAGGGCCCCAGAGAGCTGGAGAGGGGCTTTGAACAAGGAGTGCAGGATAAGAGGAATGGCTCCAAAGTGAAAAAGAGGAAATTTAGATGGGATGTTGGGAAGAAATTCTTCCCTGTGAGGGTGGTGAGGCCCTGGCACAGGTTGCCCAGAGAAGCTGTGGCTGCCCCATCCCTGGAAGCATCCAAGACCAGGTTGGACAGGGCTTGGAGCAACCTGAGCTAGTGGAAGGTGTCCCTGCCCACAGTGGGTTGGACTACACGATACTTAGGGCCCCTTCCCATGCCAACCTCTCCAGAATTCCATGACTAACCTCTTCCATCCCTCTCTCCCTCTCTCCCACAGCAGCCCACACACCCCGTCTACAACATCGCCCCAGAGAAGGTGGCGAGGGCAGTGATGCACTTCCTGCAGTATCCCGTGCCCAGCCTGGATCCGGCACCCGCTGCCAACTAGGGGGGGGTGTCCCGCTGCCGCCTGGGGGTCCCACAGCCCCAGAGTGTGCAGCCCAGCCCATCCCGTGGCGTGGTGGCCTGGCCGGCACAGCGAGGTCCTCAGGGTGCTAGCAATACCAAAACCCAGCCTGCCCCGGGCCGCGCGTCCCGCTGCCGTCCCGGCCGGAGCCAGGTGGGACACGGGCTGTGGCAGAGCTTTTTGGCATCAATAAACCAGAAGTGACACCCTGCCGTGTGCTGGGGGCCCTGGGGACACGGGGCAGGAGGCGACACCGTGTCCGGCTCTGGTGGCACCACTTCCCTCATTCCAAGAACACACAGTGACCACGGGGGAAGATAAATTAAGTGGAATTTTGGCTTTTTTTTTTTTTTATTATTTATAGTCTTATAGTAAAGGGAAGCCTTAACTTGCAAGACAACTCTGGGCAGTATGTACAACATACCTTAAATCCATGGAATGGCATCAAAATGGGGGGAAAACGGGCACCTACGGGACAGGGACGGGCCACTGGAGTTTGGATAATGCCACGGAGGTGGGAAGGGGCCAAAGGAGGGGAAAAGGAGGAGGAGGAAGAGGGGGGGGACAGGACCCCCCAAGCCTGGCTCTGTGCCAGGTCGTGCTCCGCCGACTCGGGCAGGTGGAGTTTGCACACGGAGAAAATAAATAGGGAGACACCCCCCCCCCAGTACTTGCTCCCTTTTTTTGGGGGGCTGCCCGGCTCCTCCCCGCTCCGGACTGCGCTGGTCCCCGGCTATAAATAGAAATGCTCCTATAAAACCAGGAGGGACAGGGGAGGGGGGGTCACTAGCAGGGGGGGGGGGCAGCAATAGGGGGATCTCCCTGACCACCCCCAAGTCTTTCAGCTCGACCTGACCGGCTCCCCCCCGGGGCCGGCGCGGTAGGAGCAGGGAAGGGGCCGGGGAGGGCTGGAAAGCTGCAGTCCGAGAGCTTCTAAGAGCGGAGGGAGCGAGTCCTGCCGCGGGCCGGGGGCCGCTGGGGGGGCCTAACTGGCCTCCATGCGCAGCTTCTTCCTGCTCTGCGGCTCGTCGGGCTCCGAGTCGGAGCTGGAGTCGGAGCCGCCGTCGAAGGCGGAGATGGCGCTGCCCTTGGGGTTGGTGTAGAGGCTGTTGTCCGCAGGGTAGCTGGCCTGGAGCTGGGCACTGGAGCGGGCCTTCTCCAGCGCACGCACTGCGGGGACGGCACGGTCACCCTGCGCCCGGCCCCCGGGATCACAGCTCCTGCCACACCCCGGCTCCCATGGGATCCCACATCACGGCTCCTGACACATCCCAGCTCCCATGGGATCCCGTATCACGGCTCCTGCCACACCCCGGCTCCCATGGGATCCCGCATCACGGCTCCTGCCACATCCCAGCTCCCATGGGATCCCACATCACAGGTCCTGACACACCCCAGCTCCCACCAGCTCCTGGATCCCAACCCCTGCTGGACCCCAGCTCCTGGATCCCAGACTCTGCCAGACCCCAGCTCCCACCTTGCTGCTCCAGCAGCGCGTTCTGCCGCTTGAGGTCGTCGATGTCCTGCTGGTGTGTGTGGTTTTTCCGGCGCATGTACTGGATGTACTCTGTGGCTTTATCCAGGATTTGGGCCCGGGATGCCTGTTGCAATAGTGGGAAAAGCCAGAGGCAAGATAAAGACCTAGTCCAGTGGGAAAACCATGGGACTTCATCTGCCTCATCCCACCCTGGCTCCACAGCCTGGCTCTGGTCTTCACTGGGGATTCCCGTGGTGGGACAGAGCCTTGGGAACATCCCAAAACACGAAGCCTGGACTCTGGGTGGGCGTGTGTCCGTGCTCCCAGCACGCTCCATAAACTCACCTTCTCTCCCTGGAGCGAGGGCACGGAATCCCGCAGGCTGTGGAAGCTGTCCTTGATGTGGTCCCTGCGCTTGCGCTCCAGCGCGTTGTGATGAGCCCGTTTGTCGGCCTAGGAGGGGGGGACAGGGGTGGCACTGGGGGCGGCCACCACCTGCACCCCCAGAATTCCTTCTGGGAAGTGCTGTGGGAGCCCGGCTGCGCCCCTGGGGCGGCTCCGCTGCCGTGACGCCGCCGGCTTAGCCGCGAGGGCGGGGAAGGAGGCGGCTCCCGGTGCTTTCGGTTTTCCCGGCTTCCTGCTGCCGGGGCAGCCCCGGGCTCCGGAGGGGGGGTAAAGCACCTTCACCCTGGAACGTGGTTTCCCCCCCCCCCAAAACAACCAAGCACAAGCCCCCCTCTGCCAACCCCCCGTATAGTACAACCCTCCAACAGCCCCCAAATACGGCCCCACACCCCCCTGACACAGCCCCACACATTCCCCCTTCCCAGACCTCCCCATTTTACCCCAAAAGACCCCGCACTCCTCCTGCCCTAAAGAGCCCCACATCGCTCCCCACAAGTCCCGCAACCCCACTGGCGACCCTCCCCATAACATCCCCATCCCCGCAGGACACCCCCAAACCCCTTTTCCCCCACAAGACTCCCGGCCCCGCAGATCCCCCTGTGTGTCACAGCTCCCGGCAGACCCCAGCCCCAAACGTGTGTCCACCCTCAAGAAGAACCCCGACCCCACAGGACATCCCCAAACCCACCCTCCCCCTCCCCAAGACCCCGTTTCCCCCGATCCCCTTCCGTGTCACCCCCCCCCCACCCCCCCCCCCCCCCCCCCCCCCCACGCCCCCCCCGCGGGGGGGGGGGGGGAGCTGCGGAAAGGCCCCCCCAGCGACCTACCGCGGACTGGAACCTCGGCTGCTCCTCCTGAGGAGCCCCGACCCGGGCGACGAGGAGGAAGAAGAGGAAGAGGAAGAAGATGGTGGAGGGGGGGGGCGCCGCCATATGAGGGAAGAACACACACAAACCAAACGTTACCCCATTCCCAGCGCTCCTAGGGCGGGGAACGACTGCAGGGGGGGTTACCGCGCGGCTGTCCCGGGACCGGGGACCCAACTCACGTCGCTCTCCACCTCGATGTCATCGTTGTCGCTCATCGCTCCCGCCCGGGTGAAGCCGCGGGCCGCGCCGCCACAACAACAGCCCGCACCGCGCATGCGCGGGGGGCGCTGCGGGCAACAATGGCGCCGAGCGGCGCAAGGCACCACGGGAGTTGTGGTTTGGTGTGGAGCGGCAGAGCTTCTTCCGGTGCGGGACTACAGCTTCCGACGCGCAGCGCGTTGCACGCCGGGAGTCGTAGTCCCGGCCTATAAAAGGGCGTCGAGGAGGGCGGCGCGCAGCCTTGGATGGAGGAGGTGAGCGCGGAACGGACGGAGGGAGGGGGTTTATTGAGGGAAAAGGGGGGTGGGAGGGCTCGGGGTTGCGATGGAGAGGGGTGTGTGTGTGTGGAGGGGTGTCTATGAGGCCAGCATGGGGGTTGCAGACTTAGCAAAGGGGGCTGTGGGATCGGTCCGGGGGGCTGCAGGTCTGCCTTGGGTGCTGCAGGACAATGGTGTGTGTGGAGGGGAGCTGCAGGTTGGCCTGGAGGGCTGCAGGTTTAGCAAGGGAGGCTGTGGCCCTGGTCTGTGGGTCTGCCCACGAGGGTACAGGGTTGCCCGGGGGGGAGCAGGTCGACCCCACAGGGGGTGCTGCAGGGTTGGGCTGGGGTGCTGTGGTTCTGTCTGAGGGGCTGCACCCCAGCTTAGGGGACTGTGGGCATGACCTGCAGGGCCGCGGGTCTGCCTGGGGGTCTGTACCACAGTCTGGGGGTCTGTGAGCCTCCCTGGGGGGCTGCAGGTCAGTCTGGGGGCCTGCGGACCTGACCTGGGGGCGCTGTGGGCTGCTTTGCTGGGGGGGTTGCAAGCCTGACCTGAGGGGGTTTGGGGCCCACTGGGGGGGGGGGGGGTTTGGGCATCCCCAGGGAGGGCAATGGCCCCGCTCGGCGCTGAGGGCAGGGCGGGGCCGGGCTGTCCCTATCCCAGCTGCTCCCCGTCCTCTCTGGGCTGCTCGTCCCCGCGGGCAGCCCCTGCCGGGCTCTCCCTGCCGTCCTGCTGGTCCCCGCCGTCCTCGGAGCCGGTCTCATCCGAGTTGTCCTCCTCCAGGTAGCGGTACCCGCAGGGCTTGTGGCGTGGGCGCGGCAGGCGGGGCAGCCGGTATTCCACGCGCCGTGCCAGCTTCCGCTCCATCCACAGGTACGTCCCCACCGCCACCACCAGCGTCAGCAGCAGCATGGACAGCTTGGCCTGCGGCACAGCGAGGTTTGGGATCCGGAGAGCTTGGAACGTCCCAGGGCTGGGCTGGGGCGCACCTGGGGCTCACCTTCATGGGCAGCCCGGACCACAGGTAGACGGCGAAGATGGCCAGGGCCTGCCACCAGTGGTAGATGGTGAAGATGAAGTCTTGGCGCTCCTTGTTCTTGTACAGCATTCCCAGGAGGACTGCGGCAGAGACCAGAATCAGCACCCCCTTCCCGTGCCGTGGTCCCCTTGGCATGGGGGACAACGGGACAACCACAGTGGGTGTGTCCCACAGTGCCAGGTTGCGGTGCCAGGGTGAGTGGGGAGAGGACGTGTAGAGAAGCTGGGGGCAGCCAAGGCGTTTTGGGCACCACCAAGGCTGGTTTTGGGACCACCACCGATGATGCTTTGGGGATGATGGAGATGTTTTGGGGACCACCAAGGCTGTTCCGTTTTTTTCCCCCACCACTCACTGCTGATTCCGGTCTTGTTGAGGGTGCTGCCTGTGCCCCAGAGTGCGGCGACGATGTAGAGCAGCGGTGCCTGTGCCTGCTGCCGGGGCTCCGGTGCCCAGCAGAAGAGCAGCACCAGGAGTCCAGCGTGGATGACGGCCCCAGCCAGGAGCGGGATTTGCCGGCGCAGGCGCAGCATGCTCAGGGCCAGGCTGGAGCACACCGAGGCAGAGAAGCCGTAGGCCATGAGGAGATACGCCAACTTCTCCAGCCCCAGGGTGCACACGCCGTAGTTCTGCAGCGAGGGCGGGCTCAGTGTCGCGCAGCCCTGCTCCCTCACCACCCCCCCCCACCCCATCCCAGGTCCTACCAGGGAGAATCCGGTGCAGACAAAGAGCACCTCGAAGCCGCTGTAGATGAACAGCGGCAGGAGGTGCTGCAGGCGATAGTCCCGCATGTGCTTGAAGGGCAGCTGGAAGATGTTCCCCCAGCCGATGCTGCGCATGTCGATCTCCTCCATGGGCCGGTACGCGGCGCCGCACAGCAACAGCACCTGCGGAGTGCCAAAAGTGAGGTGCTGTCCTCACCCAGCCCATCCCCAGCCCCTCCCGCCCGGCACTCACCACCAGCATGGCGAGGAAGGCGGCGGCCATCAACGCGCTCTCCACCACGATGAGGTTGACGCTGCGGGGCAGGCTCTGCAGCACTGTCTTGTTGAAGCCGGGCAGCGTGCCGTGGCTCAGGGTCCCTGCCGGGGGGGCACACACCACAGTTAACCCCAGCAGGGGGGTGGATAGAGGCTCCCGGTGCCACCTCGCACCCCCGTGGCCTCACCGCAGTGCTTCACTGCGAACAGCGTGTGGTTGAGCTGGTACAGGTAGTTGTTGAGGAAGAAGACCATGGGCATCTGAGCGCAGACGAAGCTCAACTACAAGATATAGAGGAGGGGCAGGCTCAGCACTGCCGGTGCGGCCCCCCTGCCCATCCCGCCCATCCCACCGGCGCTCACGTGGAAGCAGGAATAGAAGATGGTCTGGAAGATGATGATGTAGGCGTTACAAGCGTCCCGCGGTGCCCGCACCCTCTCCTGCTCCTCCTTGTAGTTGACATACTCGTAGTACTTCTGGGCCATCCTGCACGGCACAACAGGTCAGCTGGAACCCCCCCTGCCCCCAGCCCGCCCACCCAATGCCTACCGCGTGATGTAGTTGCCCATGGAGGCCCAGAGGGGCACGATGACCATGCCAATGGCCACGGCGGAGGGCACCAAGGTGTAGTAGCGCTCCCAGTAGTTGCTGGAGACGAAGAGGGCGTAGATGCCCACTGCCAGGAACATGGCCCACTTGGTGCCGAAAAACCTGCCGGGGTGAGGAGCGGGCAGTGTGGGCAGCCGTGCCAGTGCACCGTGCCAGCCGGGAGCGCGGTGGGACCGTACCTGATGAGGATGGGTGTGTAGAGCAGCGCCGCCACTGGTGTGACGTTGATGCCCATCAGCACCTTGTGGTCGATGTCCTCCAGCTGGATGTTGCTGTACTTCACCTCCCGGTAGGTCTCATCATAGTGAAGGATCAGCTGCATCTGCAGCAGGCCTGCAGGGGGTCCAGGGGCGGTCACCGAGTGCTCTGAGCACCCCAGATTGTTTTGGGGACCCCTGGGAGGTGCCCATACCCAGGTATACGCCGTAGGTGAGGGTGCCCGCCAGACTGGCGGCCACCACATTCTTGATGACACCGAGACGCTTGCGGCGGAAATACTTCTGCTCCTCTTCCTCCTCATTGTAGTCGGGGTGAGCACCCACAAAATCGTCCAGCTACAGGTGATCCCGGTAGTCAGACCTTGGGTATGGCCACCACAGGCCTGCCCACCCCCCTCCCATTCCCTCCCCTGGCCTCACCTGTGTCTCTGTCCCCTCAGTGCCCAGCCCAGCACCTGGCACCATCTTGGCTCCATCCTGGCAGCAGTCAGGGTCCTTCTCCATCACTGCTTCTGGGGGCACCCTGGATGGTGCCAGGATGGGGGGGAACCTGTTGGCACCCCAAGTCTTGTACCCATGTGTCTTGCACCTCTGTGTCCTTCACACCCAGACCCTGCACCCCCTGACTCTGCACCCCTGTGCCCAGCACCCCCAGACCCTGTGCCCATGTGCTCTGCACCCTGAGAGATGCACCCCCAGACCTGCACCTGTGACTTGTACCCCCAGTCCTTGTACCCCTAACCCAACCCCTGCACCCACGTACCCAGCACCCCCAGATCCTGAACCCATGACTTGCACCCCCAAATCCTGCACCCGTGTCCGGCACTCTGCACCCACGTGCTCTGCATGCTTACACCCTGCACCCCTGAACCCAGCACTGCACCCCCCCTCCCAGCTTTGCACCCCCCAGAACTGCACCCCCGGGCCCAGCACCCCCAGCCTCCACCGCACGCCCCCGGCGCCCCGACCCCCGTCCCGGTACCCGGTGCCAGAGCCTCCCGGGGCGGGGCGGTCGCCGCTTCCTCTTTCGGACGGACGGGGCGGGCGGGACGGGGGTGGTTAAAGGAGCCGCTCCCAGATTCCCCCCACTCCACCCCCGCACCTCTCGTATCCCGGATTTCCCCCCGGCTCCCGCACCCTGGTCCCTGCCCGCACCCGCCCTCAGCACCCCGACCCCCGCAGCACCCATGACCCTGACCCCCCCTGCACAGCACCCTGACCGCCCCGCACTCATCGCTCCCCCGTTGCACAAGAACCCTCAAACCCCCCCAAACTCCCCTCCCCAGCCCCCCTGTACCCCCGCAGCCTCCCCGGCGCTCCCACCAGACCCCGGGCTGGGTGCTGCCTCCGCGGGGTGCCCCGTGGCACTGAGTGCTGGTCCCGGGCACTCTCGCTTCCCCTTCCCGGCCCGGGGGATGTGCCAGAGTGCCTGGGCGGGGGGACACCCCAGTCTGGTGGTATGGGGCACTGCCTGCCCTGCTTGTCACCCCAAAGCCAGGGCCAGGAGCGTGCCCGGGTGCGTGGCATGGCAGGGTGCCCCGGGGCAGGGTGGGGGGACATGGGCAGGGCAGGAAGGGGTGACATCTTCAGGGCAGGATCTGACCCAGCCGGTAGCGGGGGATTCTTGACGTGGGATTCTTACCAGGGTGCTGGTTCCTACAGGATGAGTGGGATATGTGGGGAACAGCCCCAGAAGGGTCATGGCAGTGGGGCAGGGGCAGCGCCCATCCCGAGGGCCCCCCATACCCCAGGCAAGGGTAGCCACCCTAGAGTGCCAGGGGGAAAGGGACCTTCCTGGCCATGGTCCTGGGAGCAGGATGAGGAGTGTCAGTGGGAACCCCGTGGGTCAGGGTGGTCCTGGGAGCTTGGGAAACGCTTGGGAAGTAGGATGAGGGCTGTCTATGGGACCCTGTGGGTTAGGGTGGTCCTGGGAACAGGATGAGGGTTGTCTGTGGGGTTCCAATGGGTCAGGGTGGTCCTGGGAGGGGGGTGAGGTGTGTCTGTGGGGTCCCAATGGGTCAAGGTTCATGGTGGTGGTTTGGTGGCTGTGGGAGTTCCCCAGTGCCACTGTCCCATGGGGGAAGTCCAATCCCATCCTATCCCAGTCCTTGTCCCCACTGCCAGCCCCATGGAGGCGGGGCCCAATTCTGCCCGCCCCTGGCCGTGGGGCCCAGCCACTGGCCCCACAGCATTTAGGGGCCCCCGAGCCTCAGCAGTGCCCACCTGGACTCGTGCTCCTGCAGCCCCTGCGCAGCTCCCAAGGTAGGCACTGCGGAATCCCCAAAACTGGCATCCCCTGCGGGGCACCCCCTTAGCATCCCCCATGCAGGTGGGGGTCGTGAGGCATTGGGGGGGTTCCCTTGAGGAAGGGGGTGGGTGCCTTGGGCACGGAGAGGAATGGGAGGACAGATGTGGGGCTGCAGCTCTGTCCCCCAGATTTGGGGATGTCTTGTCCCTGAGGTCCCCATGGGTGACCCCACATTAGGTGAGAAGCCCGGGCAGGTCAGTGTCCAGAGGCTGGCAGTCATCCTGGGAATCTCAGGCATCTCCCGGGGCCTCGGGCAGCAGCACCGGGCTGAGTCACCCCGACAACCAGGACGGCCCCGAGCACCAAACCGCCCTTCAAAGGTGCCGCAGGCAGGTGACTCCTTTTGGGATTGAGCCGACAGCTCCTGCACTTCAATCCCGGCATAAGCCACCCCCGTCTCTCCCCAGCACTACCACACTCTCCATGGAGACCGGCAGCTCCTTCCAACAGCTTGGCATGCAGCAGCCCCTCGAGCCCCCCGGGCAGCAGCCCCTGGGCTACGGCAAGTGCAGCACCGCGGGCAGTGATCCCGGCAAAGACGCTGGGAAAGCTGCTGGGTGCAGTGGAGGTAGTGGGATCGGGAAGGGACC